GGTGCAGACTCGCAGGCTGGGGAGGAGCCAGGAGAAAGCTGACATGGGGAGAGGCCTTGGGAAGACGGGCGGCCCAGGAAGGAGAGAGTGAGGGTGAGGAGGCTATTGGCACAAGAGTCCCCTGGGATTCAGTGGGCTCAGCCAGTCAGGGGATGTGTAGGAATGAGTCTGCAGGGCACAGAGAAGTCTGAGACTCCCAGCAAGGAGAAGTTCAAGGCTGGGAAGGGGAGGGGGAGGAGTGGAGGTAGGGAGCTTTGCAGACCAAGACCAAGTCAAAGCTGTTCGGAATTACCCGGCCCTGGTAGGGGTAGGCGTCTTCTGCCATGATGCCCTTGTTGTAGAGGATATACTCGAAGGCTTGGCTGGGGAGACCCCTGCAAGACACACACACAGTTGGCACCAGCCCAGATGCAGGTGCGCTGGACTGGAGTTCCTTCCGTGTGCGCCTGGGCGAGGCCGGGAGGCCGGGAGTAGGGAGATGGGGAGGCGGTCGAAGGCTTGGCAATGCCTTCTGCCCGGCTTTGGCATGAAGCTCAGCAAGTCCAAGGACCAGCAGTCTAAGGACCGGCAGGTGCTGCACGCCGCCAGGACAGAGACCTCTCCTTTCACAATGGGCCCAACTCACCCCAGTCGCCATGGGGTACCCAGTCAGGGCAGGTGTTTGGCAAAGACAATTGCTGGGTCCCTCACACTGGCTGTTTATTTCCATTTTATCAATGGAAAGACAGAGGCCCAAGGAGGCTGAACCACGTGCCCAGGGCCACATTAAAAACCAGCTGCCACGAAGTGGATTCTAGCCCAGGGAGACCCTGCGTGTCAGAATTACACTGTGCGCCACACGGTTTTCAGTGGCTGTTCTGTTGAGGTGCCTCTGGGTACACTTGAACTTCCAACCTTTTAGTTAGTGGCTGAGCACTTTTCAATCCCCACCCACAGCCCCCCAGTTCCTGCTGGACTGCTTGGCTGCCTCCTCTGGGGCCTTTGTTGCAGCCGGACCTCTCTGGAGTCTATGTTGGCTTCTGCCTGTCCTGCTCAGTGGGAATACCACGGACTGTGGTCTTTTACTCTGTTCTCTGACTGCTGTATCCCCAGGGCCTGGGAACCCAGCAGGGGCTCTGGAATGTTTGCTGACCGCATGGACTCTCCTGGACCAAAGTTAACAGACTATTTTGAAAGACAGCAAGGCCTCAGCACCTCCTTGTTGGAGTCTGGTTCTGGGGGAGAAGCGGGTGTTTATCAGAAAGCCAACAGGTGAGGGTTGAGATGGCAGGTGATGGGGGATCCAAAGGACTGGGGCTGGAGTTCGGCTCTCTGCCGTGGAGTGGGAAGTGAGTGTAAGCGTGGTCCCAGGACTGGGCTGGAGGAGGAGGACCCAGGGGGTGGGGCTGAGGCCTGGGCCACACGTTGACCAAGTGGAGCAAGCATGGGCCATGCTCTGGGGGAACAAGGGAGGCCTGGCTTGATGCATATTATTTGCCAAGAAAGCCCGCCTGCCGGCTCCTAGGGAATGTCTCTCAGAGGGCCCAACCAGGCACAGATTTGGAGGCAGCCCTGCTGTAAGAGTAGGCTGGGAAGGGAGGCCTCGGGGAGACAGGCGTGAACACGCTGCCACCCCTGTGGACAAGCCCCTCAGATGGCCTGTCCAGCGGGGCAGCGAGGGCAGTTCAGAGCACGTGTGAGGGTGCCCAGACACCTGTGTGTGGACCTAGCTTTGCAGGGTGATGTGCGTGTGCCTCTGGCTACGGGCTGAGAGGCCTTGGTGGCTGGTGAAGCTGGCAGTGCCGGGCAACGGGAGAGGGGGTTGGAGTCTGCACCAGATAGGGCTGGGCCTGGATCCCAGCTGGGCTGCATCTGGCTGTGGGACACTGGGCGGGTGAGGTGTGCCTGGCGCACACCGGATAAACCACAAGTCTCCTCCCTTCCTTGGGACCACCTGGATGTGAAAAGGGGTTCAGGGCCCTCCTACCCAGGCACGTACCCTTCGCAGCCGTGGTTGTTGAAGTCCTGGGCGCAGTCTACCAGCTGCTGCTCGGCCTGCATAGAGGAACACA